GGAGCGCAGGAATAGCTGTTTTAAATTTTATCGAAATCGGTTCAGATTTGGATATAGCTCTCATATATATCTTCATCCGATTTCGGGTTAAATGTGCACTAAATGGTCAATATCAGACCAAATCACCAGTCTAGAAGCTAATACGTAAAATTTTGAGAAACCCGGTTAAGAGATGGCTAGTTCGTAAAATGCACGATAGAATTAGATAGATTTTGATTTTGTACCAAATATCTCATAGAGCTCTGAAATGCCCTGTATAAACCTTTTTACGAGAGCTCTACTAAATATGCATAGTGGTGTAGGGTATCATATAGTCGGCCCCGCCCGACTTTTGAGCTTTCCTTACTGGTTCATATTAGTATAATGACGATTAAAGAAATGGTGGATCCCGTGATACTTTTAAATATTCTTAATTTTTTCATGTTTCTGCCACAATTTCGGACTGTATGAATCCCAGTTTGACATTTCGGGTTTTATCTCATATAGACGTACATCCGAAATCTACGTTCCTAACCAATGGTCTCGTGAGGATTACAAACTCAACAGAATACATAATTTTCTTTTCTGCCCACACATTTTTTAGAAAAGCGAACATGGGGGTATACATAATGTAGGGACTATACTTAAACAAATACCTATGTGGACAATTATCTATAAGACGGTGCTCTACCTCAGAGTATCCTAATTTTTTTAGCCAAAAATGTGGTCAAGACCAAGACAGGTCCTAATTCGAAAATTAAAAAAATTTATGCTAAGAGTTTTTCTAACACCTAAGTAAGGGCCAACAACAATTAAAAACGTGGGCAAGCAAGGCAATAGCTTAAATCATATGATAGTTATACAAAAACGTGTTCAAAAAATATTTGAAATCGGGTTGTACCCTTATCCGGAATTTATGACCCATATCAAATCCTATTTAAGGTCTCTTGAAAGTTTAGGATGAATTTCTGGAAGGGAATAAATCCACCATTTTGCACCCTTTATATTCGGTATTTCATTCATTGCAGTCCCAATGAATTTTGCATTTTGAGTTCTCATTGGACGGATTATTGTCATATGAAAGAAGTAGGTTCACGTAGGTTACTCATTATTCATTCAGAATTAAAAACAATAAAAAATGTACACTTCAATATAGTATGTCAAATTAAAAAAAAATCACACCAAAAAGATTTCTTTTCATTCACATTTTTATTGACACATATTACTGCGATTCGTCAAGGCTTTCTTTTATATTGTGAAAATAATTCTTTATCTTGTTTACAAAATATCGATTGAATTCAATATGATAAGCCAAATTGAAAAAATCGTACTTTATATAAAATTGCCAAAAAAAGAAAAACCAATTGAAACAAGTTAAAAAGCAGTAAGTTCGGCCGGGCCGAACTTTGAATGCCCTCAACCATTTGGAACGAATTTGATAATTTTCAAATAATAAAATCTTTAAAAAATGCTGTTAAATTTTAAAAATTCCGAATGTAGCCATTATATTGGGGTCTATACGAGATGAACCTACATAGGCATTGTTTGTCATAAGCAATTACCATATTCAAATTCGAAACTTGAAATAAACGGTGAATAATATAGCTAAAATCAGCAAAATACCGTATGTAGGGAGTTACCGTTATATCGGAGCTGTGCGAAGACCTGGACCAGCATTGACAATTTCCTGTCACAGGTTGTAGCATCCATTGCGATCTTCAAATACGACATCTCAAACAATTTCGGTGGGTATTGTACCTAAACTCGTCAAAATACCGAATATAGGGAGGTACTGATATATGGCGCCTATACGAAGACCTGGACCTGCATAGAAAATTTATGTCACAGTTTGTAGTTCCCATTACGAACTCAAAATACCAAATTTGAAACAATTCCGGTGAATAATGTCGCTAAAATCATCAAAATACCGAATATAGGGAAGTACCGTTATATGGGGACTATACGAACACGTGGACCTGCACAGATAATTTTCTGTCTTAGGCTGTGAAATCCATTTCGAACTTCAAATACCAAATTTCAAACAATTCCGGTGAATAATGTCGCTAACATCATTAAAAAACCGAATATCGGGAAGTACCGTTATATGGGGGCTATATTAAGAGGAAAAATAAACATATGTGCAAAATTTTCTATCTCAATTCGTTCGAAAGATAGCGTGATTACAACAGACAGGCAGACAGTCGGACATCGACATATATATATATATATATATATATATATATATATATATATATATATATATATATATATATATATATATATATACTTTGTTGGGTCTGACGTGATTATTTCGAGGAGTTACAAAGTTAATATACCCGTCGTTGTATGGTGGAGGGTATAAAAAGAAAAAAATATTCAATTTGTTCGATGATTTTTTTACAGCAAAATTTTGTCAATAGAATGTACTATTATTTTGAAATTAGATTGCATTGAAACTTTTTTAGATTTTTTTTTTCACGATTTTCCGGATTTGAGAATTTTTGCCATGGAATCTCTTTTTTCGTGATTTTTTTTAACGATTTTGAAAAAGTAATTGTCCTTTAACTTTGCTGTGACCGCGTTAAATTATTTCGATATCATTATTCCGTTTCGCCATCACGTTAAAATCAGATCAGAGATTCTTGAGTTATAAGCGTAGTAACTGACACAACTTTCTTTTTATAAATATAGAGTATACCGTACACAACAAGGTGGTAGTGCAACAGGCAAAAGGAAACGAGATAATTCCTTTCATGTTCGTCTGTCCGTCCGTCCGTCCGGCTGTCTGTCCATGTATGTTTGTAAACAAAGTACAGGTCGCATTTTCTGTCCGATCAAAATGAAATTTTGCACAAGTAATGTGTATGATCCAAGGACGAACCCTAAATTGGAGATAATCGGTCAAAATTTAGATATAGCTCCCATATATGTCTTCGTCCGATTTGATTTTTATTGTGCACCAAACGTGTAATACCAGCCCAAATATTATGGAATTTTGCATATACAACATAATAAATCCTGGAAATAAGTATGCTAAATTCTATAGAAATCGGTTTAGATATAGCTATAGCTCCCATATGTATTGTTCATCACATTTAATATTTTTGTCCTTCGCATAAATACAGCTCAGAAATACATTTGCAAAATTGTATCGAGATCGGTTGAGGTGTACCTTTTATTGTGCCCCAAACGTGTAAAAGAATTTGGCACTTACGACCAAATTGATCCTAGAAAGGAGTTTGCCAAATTTGGTTTCTGTTCAGATATAGCTATAGCTCCCACATATACTTGTTCACCTGATTTATTATAATTTTTATTTGTTATATAAAGCTCTACAAATATGCAAAGGGGTATTGGGTATCATAAAGTCTGCCCCGACTGACTTTTTAAAGGTCTCTTTAAAGCAAGAACAAATCAGTTAAGATCGGCCTGAGAAACGATTACTAAATAGAAAATGTTCTATTTAAGTAGAGGAACCAATTACCACAACTCGAACCTATGCAGCCAATTTTCATGTATGTAATAGACTTAAAACATATTTAGGTAAAATTTTATAAATGTTTTTCAAGTTTTTGTAAGTGTAAGTTTTCTACTCTCAAGAAAATGTGAAGTATTCCGAAGGTTTAGTTGTAATTTGGCAATTCATTTTTTCAGAGGATATAAACGCTTTTTCATTAAAATTTTCATAATTTCCAGCCAAATTTATTGCGAATTTCGTATGTAGTGATTTTTGTACATATTAAACCACCTTATTAAAAATCATTGAAATAAGTTTATGTTTTGGACATTCTCATACAATTTCGCTTGTACTTGAAAAATGGCCTGAAACAAAGTTGAAATTTTAAATGTAGTAACTGAAATCACATAAATAACAATTAAAAAACAAGTAAAAAAATATTAAGTTCGACCGGGCCGAACTTCTAATACCCTCCATCTTTGGATATAGATAACATTTTTATATAAAAGTATCTGAATTCAAAGATGTTCCACTTTAAACTACAAATACCAGTAGGAACGTTTGAATAATACTGTTCAACTTTTCAAAAAAAAAAAAAAAGGAAATAGTAAGGAAAGCTCAAAAGTCGGGCGGGGCCGACTATATGATACCCTACACCACTATGCATATTTAGTAGAGCTCTCGTAAAAAGGTTTATACAGGGCATTTCAGAGCTCTATGAGATATTTGGTACAAAATCAAAATCTATCTAATTCTATCGTGCATTTTACGAACTATAGCTATCTCTGAACCGGGACTGATAGTGGATATTTGGTGCACATTTAACCCGAAATCGGATGAAGATATATATGGGAGCTATATCTAAATTTGATCCGATTCTCACCAATTTCAATAGGGTTCGTCCTTGGGCCAAAAAAATATTGTTTGGAAAATTCATCTCAATCGGATAATAAATGCGACCTGCATTTTGTTCACAAGAATACATGGACATACGGACGGACGGACGGACGGACGGACAGACGGACTGACATGCATAAATCGACTCAGAAAGTGATTCTATGAAGATTCTCAAAATTAACTATGGGTCTATCTCGTTTCCTTCTCCATGTTACAAACAAATGCACAAAGACATAATACCCTTACCACTATGTGGTGTAGGGTATAAATATATAAAGTGGGTGAGGCCGTTATATTGGGGCCATACCAAAACGGGAACCTCCATAGACAATTTTATATATCAAGGATTGCCGATATTAAGGTATATCCCATGAAATGTCCATTTTCGCATTTTTTTAATTAAGAATACTGTGAAGTATCAAACAGTAGACCGATCCGGTTTTTTGACCCTTCCTTACAGGTTTTTTATAAGTATGTATAAATTTCTTCTGAATCTTATCAGCTACAGGGAAATCCCTCGGCAATAGCATGTACGTACATACAATTATGCATGATTACATGCGAGTATCCATTGCTTGCGTATAGAATACGTCAGTCCTTAAATACTTCTCATCTTGACAAACAGTGAAAGTGAAAACAACAAAGCCCGCGTCGAACAGAATTAAAAATTATTAACACACGCTTTAAAAAAATATGATAGAGTATAATTTAAAATTTGTATCACTAGCAGCGGCTTACTTCAATTTGATAGTCGCCCTTATTGGAATCGGAATCTCAATTGGGGAAGTAAGCGAAATTGCAAAATCTGAGTTCAAAGGTGATAAAAAATAGAATTAGAACGCATCAGTCAAGAAAAATTTACCGAGCTTGCAATATTAACAAATACAAAAATATTTAACATGGCCTGACCGACGAACAAAGGATGTATTTCAAAGAAATATATGTGGTGTATACCATATCGCCTCTTTGGGGTTGGTTTAGCTATCGAGGTGATTTTGCCGTATTTAGCAATTGCCTACAGATAAATGTATGAAATCGGTGGAAATTTTGAGTATCACATCCAAAGTGATTCTCAGCCATATCAACAGATACGAACTTTCATTCTTTCTCTTATATATATTCGAATTTTCATTTTTTTTTTTTTTCATCTTTTCAGATAAAAAATGTTATTGGATGGTTGGTTTCCATAGTTGGCTATTTTTATATTCGATCATGTTGATTAGTGTCTCAGTTACATTAGTTATTGGAATTAAAAAGGTAAGTACTCCACAAAAACTTGGGACAGTATAGGCTGAAGAACCCATTGGTTGTAAACCACCAATAGATCAAAAATAATGGATTATACCTTCAAAAATAAAAATAAAATAACTTGTTTCTCTGATTACTTTTATATTATTACAAAATCGAAAGTTGGGAATTTGAGACTCGGCTTCGGAATATAATGAAACAAGCAACAAGTAACAAGCTGTATGTTTGAAACATTTTCGGTGAATAATGTCGCATAAATCACCAAAATACCGAAAATAGGTACCGTTATATGGGGGCTATACCAATACCAAAAGTCCTGCAGACATAATATACATTTGAGCAAAATTTTATCAACCTACTGCATTTCGCTCGGAAGCTAGAGTGATTTCCACAGACAAACGGACATCGCTAAATCGACATAGAATTTTATGTTTGATCAGCATAAAATTCTATGTCGATTTAGCGATTAATGAGGTCTAAAATATATATTTCGAGGTGTTACAAACGGAATGTCCAACTTAATATACCCTCCATACTATGGTGGAGGGTATAATAAAATACGGAAAATTTGTTAATGTATTTTAATGTAAACGTACCCATGGGCAAGTATGTGTAGAGTATTCAACAACAAATCATAAATTGCGAGTTTAATGCTAGTAGCGGACGGAAAATCCTTCTATACCCTCCACCATAATATGGCTGGTATATAAGGTTTGTCTTTCTTATATTAAGTTTGTCTTTTTCTTGTTTATGCTCTGTCTTCTGTGAAAGAAGACTGCTGAAATAGGCCCATTATTTCCTTTATTACTGATAAGGCGGTACCTCCGAATATTCGGTATTTTGATTATCTTACCCACATTTATAACAGGTAATTAAACCCTACACCACAAGGTGGTCAGGGTATTATGTCTTTGTGCATTTGTTGGTAACAGGCATGCGGAAACGAGATAGACCCATAGTTCCTTTTGATGATCTGCATAGAATCACATTCTGAGTCAATTTATGCATGTCCGTCTGTCCCTCAGTCCATGTATATTTGTAAGAAAAGTATGAATCGCATTTATTGCCTGATCCAGATAAAATCAAGAACGAACCCTATTGACCCAAGGACGAACCCTATTGGAGAAATTGGAGATAATCGGTCAAAATTTAGATATAGCTCCCATATATATCTTCGCCCGATTTGCCTTTTGTGCACGAAACGTGTAATATCAAGCTAAATAGTATGGAAATTTGCACATACGACAAAATTAGACCTGAAATTATGCCAAATTTGATCGAAATCGGTTCAGATATAGCTGTTGCTTCGATATATATTGTTCATCTAATTTGTTATTTTTGTCCTCCGCAGCCGTAATATGCACTCTGTAACAACAATATATGGGGAAATATATCAAATATAACTCAGAAATACCCTTGCTAAATTTTATCGAGATCAGTTAATATTTGGATATAGCTCCCATATATATCTTCGTCCGATTTGCCTTTTTATTGTGCACCAAGCGTGTAATATTAGCCCAAATGGAATGGAATTCGGTACTTACGACCGAATTGAATCTAGAAGTTAGTATGTCAAATTTGGTAAAAATCGGTTCAGATATAGCTATAGCTCCCATATATATTGTTTATCCGAATTGTTATATTCGTTCCCCACAGCCGTAATATGCACTCCGTAACAACGATATTCAGGGAAATACAGCTCCGAAATATATTTGCGAAATTTTATCGAGATCGGTGCAGATTTGGTATAGCTCCCATATATATCTTTATCCGATTTCCAGTGAATTGTGCACCAAATGGACAATACAACCCGAATTAAAAAGTTACAAATGCTTTGGCATATTTTGTCCTTCGAACTTTAAATTATAATTATTATTATCGTACTTTTAATAGTGATGTGAAGCTCTACTAAATATGCAAAGTGGCCCGGCCCGCCCGACTTTAAGACTTTCTTTACTGATTAAAAATGACACAATTGTTACAACCCTTAAGTGCTCAGTTGATAGGAACCTCATTTTCATTATATTGTACTTGTTTTTTTTTTTCTTTTCAGAATGAGTTGAAGGTTCTGACACCCTTTGTCTTTTTTACCATGTCTATATATTTTGTTCATGGTTTCTTGATAATTGTCAATTTTATTTCGGGCTTAATTCTTCTAACGTTTGTTTCGCCGTATCTCATTTTGCTATTGTTTGTGTCAATAGTTGGTAAGTTGCCTTTGAATTCATTAAAGAAATTGAAAGTAAATCTTATATTTTTATTATAGTTCTCCAAGTTCAAATACTGTGGCCAATGTGGAATTTATATAGACATCGTAATTCAGAAAGCGAAACACCAATATCTAGCGCCATTTACCTCCAGTAAGAATAAAAAAACAGCCATATTTTGTTTGTATGCCCGAGGTCTGTTCAATAGAAACAAGAATATATGTTATGAATGAAACATAAATTATAACCATTTACTAATAATGTTTAATAATAATTTTTATAAATTGTTTTTTGAGCTAATTTTGATTACGTGTTTGATTATAAAATATGTCCTATTATTATCTAAAACGATTTTCACCAACTTTGACATACTTGCTTCTAGGCTCAATTTTGCTGTACGTGCCAAATTATATTCTACTGCACAATTGGAGCACAATAAAAAACAAATTGGACGACTATAGATATATAGGAGCTATATCTAAATATTGATCGATTACCTCCGATTTCAATAGGGTTCTTCCTTAGGCCAAACGAATGATTTGTGCATATCGATTTCATATAGATCGGACAATAAATTCGATCTGTCCATCTTTGTTCACAAAAATACATGGAGAGACAGACGGACGGACAACCATAAAAAATGTATTTTATGAGGATCCTCAAAAATAGCTATGGGTCTATCTCGTCTTCTCCATCTTACACAGTGTTGTGTTGGATATAAACATGGAAACATTTACAAAGATTAATTAGATAGCTTCGAAATACAGATCACCATCCAAATTGGTAGGATTGAAAAATTTCCAAGAAATTCCGTCGAAAAATTTTACTCAAATGAAAACCGTTATATGGAGGCTGTTTCAAACAATTCCGGTGAATAATGTCGCTAAAATTATCAAAATTCCGAATATCGGAAGTTACCGTTATATGTGGGTTATATGAAGAGATGGACCTGTAGAGACAATTTTCCGTCATAGGCTGTAATACCCATTACGAACTTTAAAAACGAGATTGCAGTAAAAAAATGTACCCAAAATTTTCAAAATACCGAATATTGGGAGGTATTGTTATATGGGGGCTATTAGAAAACGTGGACCTGCATACTCAATTTTTCTCATAGGCTGTAGTACCCATTACGAACTTTAAGCACGAAATTTGAAACAATCCCTGTAAAAATGTCGTTAAAATCATCCAAATAGCGAATTTTGGTGGGTATCGTTATATGGGGGATATAAGATATGGAAATACTCTTTCACGGGGTAAAGTACTCACAAAGAACTCCTTATCGATATCGTATAGCCCCCATTCCCGATATTCGGTATTTTCATGGTTTAAGCGAGAATTTTCAATGGAATTTTCTCAAAATCCGCCTGCAGTTCCTTCTGAGTACTTTACCCCCTGGAAGAGCATTATACCATATACCAGTACCTTCCGATATTCGGTATTTTGGTGACTGTAGCCAAATTTTTCAATAGATTTTTTTTAAACATTTCCGATTTCTATATAAAATTATAAAATTTATTTGTTGAAAACCTAAAATGTAAAATTGAAAAATGAACACATTTATATGAAGGCGATGAAAGCAAAATTTTGTTTTTCATTTCGTTAGGAGTCTATGGGGACGGATACGCAGATATTGCTAAAGGACAGTAGCAATTTATTCAATGATTGTTGAGTCTCATAAATGTGTACCTTTGATTGTCGACATTTTAAATATTCCAATCAAAATTTCCAACCAAATAAGCTGTACCAAATATTTAAGGCCAGCTATCCCTATCCTATCGTACAGGATATAAAATAAAGCAAATTCTTATATTGTATGATCCCTTCAGAATCAGTTTATGTTTTAATTTATTCATGTCTACACATAGCATTGAACTTTCGACAACTATGTTATTAAATGTCGTTCTAATCGGATCAGATTCAGAAATATCATTAAATGTCCATTTTCGCATTTCTTTATTTAGAACACTGTGAGGTGTCCCACAATCGGTCGATTCGTATTTTTATCCCTTCCCTACGGGTTTTTGTGAGAAGTTTATAAAAATTTCTCTCGAATCTTATCAGCCACAAGGAAATCCCTCTTATATACAATTGTACATGTTTACATATCCATTGTTTTCGTATTGAATACGTCAGTTCTGACAAAACTTTTCATCTTGATAAACAGTGAAAGTGAAAGCATCAAAGCCCGCGTCGAACAAAATTAAATAATAATTATTAATACAGACTTTTAAGAAAAAACATGATAGAGTATCATTTAAAATTTTTATCACTAGCAGCGGCTTACTTCAATTTGATAGTGGCCCTAATTGGAATCGGAATCTCAGTTGGGGAAATGGCTGAAATTGTTAAATCTGAATTCAAAGGTAAGAAAACTCATCGTAATTTGTAAACATCCTAAAACGGAACCAAAAAGACGGTTGGTCTGCATGACATGGCTGGATCTACGAAATATGGAGGGTTTACAAAGAAACACATGTGATATCTACAAAGTCGCCTTTTTCATTGGACCAGTGACCAGATTTTTTTTACTATCTTCATGATGATTACCAACTGTCTTAAAGGGAAGAAATAGAATAGGAAGTTATATGTATCAAAATTTAAGTGATATTTTCTTTTATATCATCTTTTCAGACCGAAACAGTTATTGGATGATAGCTGTCTATAGTTGTATATTTCTATACTCGGCCATGTAGATTGGCGTTTCAGGTACATTAGTTATTGGAATTAAAAAGTTAAGGAATTATGCATTTACTACAAAGACCCCACAGCTTTGCACACTCTGTAATTTATTCCAAATGAAATACATTATTTGATACGACCAAAATGTGCAACAAAATTAAATTTGGTATCCAAAATAGCTGTAAAATCTAAAGATACCGCTAAGAATAGGAGGAACATGTATCAGCGTTTTGAAAGTTTACATCTCCTATATTGAAGGGGGAAATTTCCCTTCTTGTATATTTTCTAAAACTTTCGGATTAACATTCCATGGAAGCCTTGTATTTATGACATGTGGTGTCTTTGGCAATATTACTAAAATAAATATTACTACTCGTCCTCAAACAAGTCGCCCAAGAGATCTTTTTGGTCCTCTTTTCAACAAATGGTTAGAAACTACTTTTATACATATATATAATCGTATATACATATATCGTATATTATACAGAAAACAAAAAGAAATCTTCAACTTGTTCGCTGCAATTTTTCAACAAATGTTTAAAGGTCCTTACGAGGTTTGTCAGTTGAATGTACCATTATTTTGAAATTCGATTCCATTGAATTTTTTCTCGATTTTTACATGATTTTAGAATTTTTGCATTTCTTGATTTTTTACCGGCCCAGCCGATGTCCGGCAGTTCATTACTTTTCATACCCTACAACACTATGTGTTGGGGGTATTATAAGTTTGATTGGGCCAACAAATATGTAACACCCCGAAATAGTGGTTTCCCACATAGGAAAGTATATATGAATCTTCCGATCTCTCCGAGTCGAGTCGATCTAGCTATATATGTCGGTCCGTCCGCCTGTTCATGTTAATTTCTAATCACTCTACAGGTCGCAGGCTCGATCCTCAATTTAGAATGGAGGTGGGGTTAAGGTCAGAATATAACCCTATTTCTTTTGGAGATGATTGCATAATATTTAGAAGTTGAAATGGACCAAAAATTATAGACCAATCGAAGCGTAAGTCAGCATGGGGCTAAAGCTTTGGGCTGGCCAGAAGTCTTCCAATTTTGATATTTAGTGGGTGAAATAGACCATAACAGTTGTGTTAAATAAAAGTCAAATTTTCCATTAAACCGCGATTTCTTTCAATTTGACTTATAATATTGAATTGATATTGTGTATTTTTTTGCAATATTTTTTCACCTTACAACACATGTTGGGTTATTATATACATATTGCAATTATTGTCCGATTCTCACGAAAATTTTCACAAGGGTAGGACTAGACTCAGGGCTAGGTCTATTGTTTTCGAAGATGTCCGCAATATATTTAGGGGTTGAAATGGACCAACAGCTAAAAATGTTCTTGATTTTGCAACCGTTATAAAGGTCACAAATGGAAACCAAAAGACACGAAATCTCGCAAGAATTTAGAGTTAGGACATCGGGTTGAATGGACCACTTCTTTTGTGTGAAAAAAATACCAACATTACTTACAGGCCATATCCGAAATACACAAAAGACAAGAAAATCATATGGATGAGTCTAAATTTGGAGATACAGAGGGGCTTCTTGCTTTTGGAGGTGATCGCAAAATATTTAGGGTTTCAAATAAAAAAAACAAGGGTAGTGTTGTAGGGTATCACATGTTCGGCCCCGCACGGCTATAGACTTTGCTTACTTGTTTTTATATATATTTACTGTTTTTTTCCTATTCAGAAAAATCCCAAATTCTTAATACCGTTTGTTCATGTGACTGACCTTTGCTGTCGGTTGTACCTTTTTCTGGTATTATGTACATTTTTTGAGAATTTCTTTAAACGCAAATCCTTTTTATAGAATTTCTAAAAGGTGCTATTACATTTGCTGTTTATTGGTAATAATTTCAGATTTCCACTTCTTTACTTACTTGAAAATAGTTACCTTCATCCTTTAATATTTCCATTGCAGTTTTTGTAATGTCATATTTGCGACTTGTAAAGAAGTTATACCAATAATGGTCCAAGGAGATGGAAAATGAGCCGACGAATAAAAATAGATATGAAATTCGGCCGGGTCGAACTTTTAATACCCTCCTCCTAAGGGTAAAGAAAACATTAGAACCAATTATGACCCACAAATAACAATTTTTAGACATATTCCTGGGAAAATGTGGCAAAATTGATCAAAATACCGAATATCGGGAGGTACCGCTATGTAGGGATATAGAAAAACGTGGTCCTATGCATACAATGTTTCGCCAACGGAGCTAGAACATATTAAGACCAACTAATTCCAATTTTTAGACAAATCCGTGAAAAAAATGTGACAAAAACCATCAAAATACCGAATATCGGGAGATACCATTACATGGGGCTATACCAAAGCGTGGACCAATACGTACAATGTTTCGCCACACGAACTAGGACCCATTATGACCTACAAATACCAAATTTTAGAAAAATCCATGAAAAAATGGGACAAAAATCATGAAAATACCGAATATCGGGAGGTACCCTTATATGGTATATTATAGGTCCAGGTTTTGGTATCGTATAGGTACCTCCCGATGTTCGGTAATTTGATGATTTTTGTCACATTTTTTCACGGATTTGTTGGTCTTAATGGGTTCTAGCTTTTTTTGGCGAAACACTTTATGTATAGGTCCACGTTTTTATATAACCCCATATAGCCGTATTCCCCGATAATCGGTATTTTCATGATTTTTGGCACATTTTCCCATGAGTATGTCAAAAAATTGGTATATGTGGGTCATAATGGGCTCTAATGTTTCCTTTAACCTAAGGTAGAGGGTATTAAAAGTTTGGCCCGACCGAACTTAATTTTTTTTTACTTGTTACTTGTTCCATCCCTCATGTTATGATACCCTCTCGCTTGTACACAGAATTATTAAAGTTTGAAACGTTCTTCATAATTTTGTAATTATCATTTCAAGCCGGCCGAATTTAATTTTATTTTTACATATATTAAAACTAAATTCCCTTATCCCATCTCAACTCGTTCTTAATTTATTCGCCATTTTTTGGGCTTGTCGAGATTTATATTTAAATAAATTAACAGGTGTGTATACACGTACCATAATGTGTAATTGTGTGTGCACGTGTGTGCATGTGTGTCCTTTAATGGCCCATGTTGAATTTCAACTGGAACAGAACACGACACAAAAACACGATATGAAGAGCAAAGAAACACAAAACTGGGAGATATTACAAAACTCCTTTTTTGTGAAGCGTTTCAATTTTCAGTATTAGTTTGTGGCAAAGAGGCAAGGCGGACGGTATTGTTGGCAAATTGGATTTATTGGATATTTCGTTTTGGGTTGCCGAACTTGTTCCGATGTACACATGGGATCGACTCAAATGTTTATCTGTTATATCAACCTATTTTCATGTGGCCCTCGGTGTGGTGGGATCATTTGTTTTCATGACCATATTGGCCATGGTATGTGATCACGAGGATGTGGCATCTGTGGCGGTGAAGGATTATGGTGAGAAATACTTTTTTGTTTTGTATTTATTTTTACTGTATAGCTGCATTGTATTTCCAGAAGATAACAGAACCATTATCCTGTGCTATTTTGTCGCCTTGCTACTGTATTTCCTGTGCATGTTGGCGTTTTCTATAGTTTTAATTGTTGGCATAAGTAGGGTGAGTATTGTAAAATATTGGAAAATAATTATTTTTATATAATAAATATTTCCGAATAGAAAGAACCCAAATTCACGGTTTGGAAGAAGAACTGTGCATATGGATCCAAGTTATGTTATAGACTAAATATAAAAGCTCCTCCCAATTATTGGTATTTCGATGGTTTTTGGTCTTTGGAGTGGATAATAGATAACACATTTTCCGAACCCGCGGACCCTAGTTTTCAACCATTTCCTTTGATTTTTTGAAACCCTGGCCTGACAGCTGCAGTATGCCGGAACCTGAGTGCGTGGAGTGAAATCTGACTGAAATGGCTTTCGGGTTAATGCTCCAGCTGCCGTCGTCCCTTTAAAATGTGAGAAGGCTTATGGTACGCTCCTAGTTTCGTTGGTGATGTAGGTTCAGTTGACTGTTGTTCTGATTTATACGGGTCTGGCTCTGAACGCAAGATTTCGTAAGGATCCTGTGTCAACCCTTGCACCGCCTCCCTGCTTGCATATACAACCATAGGACCAACAAACGTAACTACACATCGAACTAAGATAACGGACATAAGTTGGGACCCAGTGAAGAAATGAATAGCAATAACAACATTAATGGAGAAGAAAACAAAACGATGGTAAACCCTTTTAAACCAAGCAGTACCTTACCTTAAAATTACTGCTAATGATAGTCTGGCAAGGATCTCAAGATGGCTGACCTCAAAACAGTTGTAGCTTGCTGCTGCTATGCATGTGCACAAACAATGTACGCGACTCCTATTATAAGTAATGATGTAGGGAAAAGCAAAAAACTTTGCAGATTTTTAGAGAGAGAGTATACCGGGCATGCACACTAAGAGTTATATCTGCATACAGAACGACATCAACAGAGGCACTATCCATATTTTCAGGAAGTAAAAAAACATTAAGTTCGACCAGGCCATACTTTTAATACCCTTAACCTTAGGGTAAAGGCAACATTATGACCCACATATACCAACTTTTAGACATATTCATCGAAAATGTGCCAAAAATCATCAAAATACCGAATATCGGGAAATACGGCTATATGGGGCTATACAAAAACGTGGACCTATACATACAGTGTTTCTCCAAAAGAGCTAGAACCCATTAAGACCAACAAATACAAATTTCTAGACAAATCCGCGAAGAAATGTGGCAAAAACCATTAAACACCGAATATCGAAAGGTACCGTTATATGGGGCCTATACCAAATCATTGACCTACACATGCAATGTTTCGCCAAAGGAGCTAGAACCCATTATGACCTACAATTACCAATTTTCAGACACATCCGTGAAAAATGTGGCAAAAATTATCAAATTACCGAATATCGAGAGGTACCGTTATACGGGGACTATACCAAAACGTGGGCCTATAATTACAATGATTCGCCACACGAACTGGGTCCCATTAACTACCAATTTTCAGAGAAATTCGTGAAAAAATGTGTCAAGAATCATCAAAATACCGAATATCAGGAGTTACCGTTATATGGGAACTATATCAAAACGTGGACCTATAATTACAATGATTCGCCACACGAACCAGGACCCATTATGACCTACAAATACCAATTTTTAGGCATATCTGTGAAAAAATGTGGCAAAAATAATCAAAATACCGAATATTGGGATTTACCGTTATATGGGGGCTATACCAAATCGTGGACCGTTACATGCAATGTTTCGCCACCGGAGCTGGAACCCATTGTGACCGACAAATACCAATTTTTGACACATCTGTGAAAAAATATGGCAAAAAATAATCAAAATACAGAATATCCGGAGATACATTTCTATGGGGGCTATACCAAAGCGTGGACGTATACATGCAATGTGTTGCCACACGAACTGGGACCCGTTATGACCTACAAATACCAATTTTCAGACAAATTCGTGAAAAAATGTGGCATAAATCATCAAAATACCGAATATCGGGAGGTACCGTTATATGGGGGCTATACCAAAGCGTGGACCTATACATGCAATGTGTTGCCACACGAACTGGGACCCGTTATGGCCTACAAATACCAATTTGCAGACAAATCCGTGAAAAAATGTGGCATAAATCATCAAAATACCGAATATCGGGAGGTACCGTTATATGGGGACTATGCCAAAACGTGGACCGACATATCATTTTCAATACCAAACATCCTAGAGACAATACAAAATGCTCTGCTAAATTTTGGCGCTCTACGTCAAATAATGTGGCTGTATCGTGCAAATGCAATTTGTGGAATGTGTCGTGAATCTATAGAATATAAATTCAGAAGGTCGGAGATACCGTAGGGATTGTGGGTCAGAGTAAAGGGGTTATTTTAACGTGTTAAAGTCTCGCACACCTGGCGCAAACAGGTAGCCAGAGTCTTTAATTGATTTTCCTCGAAAAAAAATATAGTATAGTAAAGTATATAAAAATTTGATATTTGAAGTTACCATCCATCTCCTCTGATGGTTACTTCTTCATATATAGATCCAAGTTACCATATAAACCTCATATTACGTTACACCCCCTCCCCCACCCCATTTCACGTTTTTAATGATTTTAACCACATTTTTCAAGTGAGTTTTTTTTTTTCAAAACTAGAAATATGATTTCCAAGCAGAAATAGCTTGCACTGCTCGAATAATAGATCTCGCCACTTAGAGGCATATTTTTAAAAGAGTCACTTTGCTTTAAATTTCGAACCTGCCGAACTTTACGCTTTTTATACCCTACACCACATAGTGGTAAGGGTATTATGTCTTTGTGCATTTGTTTGTAACATGGAGAAGGAAACGAGATAGACCCATAGTTACTTTTGAGAACCTTCATAGAATCACTTTCTGAGTCGATTTATACATGTCCGTCTGTCCGTCCGTCCGTCCGTCCGTCTGTCCATGTATTCTTGTGAACAAAATGCAGGTCGCATTTATTATCCGATTGAGATGAAATTTTCCAAACAATATTTTTTTGGCCCAAGGACGAACCCTATTGAAATTGGTGAGAATCGGATCAAATTTAGATATAGCTCCCATATATATCTTCATCCGATTTCGGGTTAAATGTGCACCAAATATCCACTATCAGTCCAAATTACCTGAATTTTGGCACACCCAACCGAGTTCGGCCTAGAAGCAAGTATATCAAATTTGGAGAAAATCGGTTCAGATATAGCTATAGCTCCTATATATATCTTTCATCCGATTTGATCTTTAAGTCCCTCACATTCCTACTATGCACTCCACAACCGTTATATTTGGTACCAGGTATTAGATGGAGCACAGAAATAGCTGTTTTAAATTTTATCGAAATCGGTTCAGATTTGGATATAGCTCCCATATATATCTTCATCCGATTTCAGGTTAATTGACCAGCAAATGGCCAATATCAGCCCAAATGGCCCGAATTTTGGCACATGTGACCGAGATTAGCCTTAAAGCAAATACAACAAATTTGAAAATCGGTTCAGAAACAGCTATAGCTCCCATATATATATTCATCCGATTTCGGGTTAAATGTGCACCAAATGTCCACTATCAGTCCAAATTACCTGAATTTTGGCACACCCAACCGAGTTCGGCCTAGAAGCAAGTATATCAAATTTGGAGAAAATCGGTTCAGATATAGCTATAGCTCCCATATATATCTTTCATCCGATTTGGTGTCTAAGCCTCTCACATTCGTAATATGCACTCCACAAGAATGATATTTGGTACCAGATATAAGATACAGCCCAGAAATAGCTGTTTGTAATTTTATCGAAATCGGTTCAGATTTGGATATAGCTCCCATATATATCTTCATCCGATTTCGGGTTAAGTGTGCACCAAATGGCCGATATAAGTCCAAATGGACTGAATTTTAGTACATCGGACCAAATTCAGCCTAGAAGCAAGTATATCAAATTTAGTGAAAATCGGTTCAGATATAGATATAGCAACCATATACATGTTTCATCCGATTTAGAGTTTTAGTCCCACACATTCGTAATATTCACTCCACAACCGTGATATTTGGTACCAGGTATTAGATGGAGCACAGGAATAGCTGTTTTAAATTTTATCGAAATCGGTTCAGATTTGGATATAGCTCTCATATATATCTTCATCCGATTTCGGGTTAAATGTGCACTAAATGGTCAATATCAGCCCAAATCACAGGTCTAGAAGCTAATACGTAAAATTTGGAGAAACCCAGTTCAGAGATAGCTATAGTTCGTAAAATGCACGATATAATTAGATAGATTTTGATTTTATACCAAATATCTCATAAAGCTCTGAAATGCCCTGTATAAACCTTTTTACGAGAGCTCTACTAAATATGCATAGTGGTGTAGGGTATCATATAGTCGGCCCCGCCCGACTTTTGAGCTTTCCTTACTGGTTTTAATTATGTTTATCTACTTTTTTTTTCTTAATTTCAGAAACAACCTAAGCTGATGGCACCCTTTGTCTATTTGGTATATGGCGGTACATGGATGTATGCCTTCCTATCATTTCGTCATTTCGTTTGGGGTCTTTGGCATAGAGGACCATTTGCGAAACTTTTTATCAAGCTAATTGTTAATTTGTCTTGTGTTTGTAAGTTTAAACAGTTTAATATCCCACAATGAAATAGGTTCTAAGTTAACATTTTCTGTTAGCAATCCAAGCAGCAATCTTTTGGCCAGTTTATCTTCTCTATAGGCAGTGGCATAATGAGTTGCGAGAGGAACTGAAGCAACAAGATACGGACAATGCAACTAAATCGAAAAGTGGCGGAATTTTGTCGTTGGAAAAATATTAAAAACAACTAATAAATATACAACTTTTCTATAAAACTAATAAACTGGTATCTTGAATTCGTAAATTTCTTTGCAGAAAAGATAATACAAATATTGAAATAGTTGGTTATCCAGCATTAGTTTTGAAGGAATATTTAAAGTTAAAAAAAAACATATTTTTGTAAGCAAAATGCAGTTTGCAGTTATTGCCCGATCAAGATAAAATTTTGCACAAATGATTTGTTTAGCCCAAGGTCGAACGATATTGTAATTCGTGATAATCCTTCCAGATTTAGTTATAGCACCCGATTATAGCCCGATTTTCGGTCTATATTTCAGCAAATGCGTAATATATGCCAAAATTTGGTACATTTTAGCACAGATGAATTAAGCCTTTAACTAAGTTTTTTTAGATTTGATAAATAACGGTTTAGATATGACTACAGCTCCTAAATATATGTTTTATCCGCTTTTGTATTTAAGTATTCTGAAAGTCATAGACTGCACTTCATAGCAATGATATTTGGTTCGGGAGGTCACATACAACCTAAACTTACATCAGTGAGAAGAAATCGATTTAGACATAGTTTTAATAAGTAAGTATCAACCTATTTCACATTTAAACCGTTCTAAAGACATAACATGTAATTAATACTCAAATAGCCAATTTCTTTTCTCAAAAATAAATTCCCTGTTTCAATATAAGATTTCGTCAGCACCAATTCTCCCCCATTCACTGCCAAAATATGGTAAACATATGCTGGATCCTTTTTGAATCCTGAAGTAAGGGCATCCAATCAGAATTTGAAAAGAATCCTAATTTTTATACTTTCAGCCATATGACTACAGAGGGTATATATGAATTTGATTCGGTCAAAACGTGTCTCGTCTTTGAGCCAAATACATTTCTGAACACGATAATTCTGGTACCTCCCACATAAAAGGCAAAATCTTCAGAGAAAATATTTTAGCTTATAGAACAAGAGAGGAACATCCAATTTTGTGTAAAATTTGCAAATCCGGATGTTTTTATCAGTACTACATCTGGTGCAAAAACTGAAAATATCGGCAAACAAAATTTGGAAAAATTATAACTCTTTCATTAGCCTAAATAAGGCTCCAATTTTTTTTCAAATTTCGTACATCTCAATATTTCTACTAACACGGTGTGGCATGGTATGAAGAAGTGGTAGGACAAGACATTCCTTATGGTACCTCTTACACAACGGGTCAACATTTTGAATACAAAATAGCAATTAGTTTGTACATCTAGTTGTGGAACTTATCAGCAAAATCCTTCTGATATATCCTCTACAAAAATTTAAAACTTTTGTTAAAAGTTATTCATATAATTTTGGAAATAAGTGTTCGATTTTCTTTAAATTTTGGACTATCAGTATCGGATGAAATTGGTACATATTTGTATTTTCTAAAAACTATCACATATCTCATACAAAGTGAAGGAAGTAGTCGATATTGTGCCAATTAGACACGTTGTAATATTTATATCAGGCTTATGTCAGATACGAAGTAAGCAATATTGACGCACTCTTTCGGAACCTCCCCCTACATTGTTTATATCTATCGCTTCGCCCAATGTCATTTAGTACTTTTCGTGCACGTGTAGTACACATTTCCAAAACCACCTCTTTATCACAAACCGACATTCATTATCGCGAAACTTTGGATATTCCAGCACGCACCACACAAGAATGGTTACAAAATGAGGTTCCTCGCTTCATTTCCAGCGCACAATGGCCTCCAAAATCTGCGGATAGCAATCCGTTGGACTGTTGTGTCTGGAGTATTTTAGAAAGCAAGGATGACATTAAAAAACACCAAAGTGTCGATCACCTCAAGCAAGCGCTTCGCCGGGAACGGGCCAAAATATCGCAGAGCAACATTCGGGCAGCGTGCGACGGTTTCATTGGTCCTTTGAAGGCCATAATTCGTGCCAAAGGTGACCAACTCGAACAAATCTAAACGTATTCTAAAATTTGATGCTATTTCCGACATTTTTTGCTTTCATTCAATAAAGTTTAAAAATTATGACATTTGAATTTGTTGCAGTTTTTTATCTTACCCTGTATAGATTGTTGTACATTGGCTGAGGGTATACATCTGTCGGAACATGTGTCTGGTTTGTAAGTAGTTACTGGTGCCAAAATGTAGTTTGGAGTCTAATAATAAAATCTTCAAAATACAATTATATGGAGGCTATAGGATATATTTTGTTTGTCTAAAATTATTATTTTGTAATTATATTTTTGTAAGTAATAAACCTCCATAATATGTATGTGGAGGGAAGAAGGTGTGCGTGAGTGTAACATCAAATGGGTTTTGGTGTTACTGAGTACCGTAGAAGACAATTTGATCTGTTAGAGGAGATTTTATCTGTTACAGAAAAATACACATACAACGGTATAATAAAAAGCAGTAAAGAAAGTCCTAAAGTCGGGCGGGGCCGACTTTATGATACCCTACACCACTTTGCCAATTCAGTAGAGCAAAGAGGAGAATTCAATCATACACGCTATGATTATAATTATTATTTAAAGTTCAAACGACTAATATGCCGAAGCATTTGTATCTTTTAAATTCGGACTTGTATTGCCCATTTGGTGCAAAAATAATTTGAAATCGGATAAAGATATATATAGGAGCTATATCCCAATCTGAACCGATCTCGATAAAATTTGGCAAAGATATTTCTGAGCTGTATTTAATATATTTCCCTGAATATTGTTGTTACGGAGTGCGTATTACGGCAGTGGGTAACAAATACAACAAATCGGATGAACAATATATATGGGAGCTATAGCTATATCTGGACCGAATTTGGCATGATAGCTTCTAGACTCAATTCGGTCGTATGTGCCAAATTCCATCCCATTTGGCCAAATATTAGACGCTTGGTGCACAATAAAATGTAAATCGGACGAAGTTATATATGGGAGCTATATCCAAATCTGAACCGATCTCGATAAAATTTAGCAAAGATATTTCTAAGCTGCATTTGATACATGTCCTCAAATAGTGTTGTTACAGAGTACATATTACGGCTGCGAAGGACAAAAATAACAAATCGGATGAACAATATATATGGGAGCTATAGCTATATCTTAACCGATTTCGATCAAATTTAGCATACATATTTTCAGGCCTAAATTGGTCGTATGTGCCAAAATTCCATACTATTCGGGCTGATATTACACGTTTGGTGCACAATAAAATGCAAATCGGACGAAGATATATATGGGAGCTATATCTAAATTTTTACCGATTATCTCCAATTTCAATAAGGTTCATACTTGGGCCAAACAAATGTTGTTTGGAAAATTTCATCTCAATCGGATAATAAATGCGACCTGCATTTTGTTCACAAGAATACATGGACAGACGGACGGACGGACGGACTGACATGCATAAATCAATTCAGAAAATGATTCTATGAAGATCCTCAAAAGTAACTATGGGTCTATCTCGCTTCCTTCTCCATGTTACAAACAAATGCACAATGACATAACACCCTTACCACTATGTGGTGTAGGGTATAAAAACTAAAAGAGTGCTCGGCAAGAGTAGAATCTGCTCGATTTTGAAAGAATGGTTCTTTCACTCAAAAGCGAGGAAAATAGGGTAATTTATATTCGAGCAACATCAAAATCTTAGGTTTGTTCGGTTTTTTCCTCTCCAGGAGTGCTCTCGCTCGAAATGAAGTGTTTCCGCTCTACGAACAAATTCGAGCGAGTTTTTCGGAGAACAAGTTCGAGCGATTCGAGTCCGATTTTTGCTATGTCGTTGCCCAGTCTCGAACTCAAACATTTCGATTTTGTAGTCGGACACACACACTCAGTGCCGACGTTACTTACTACTTGGTAACCAGGATTTTTTGGGGAATAAACGCTTACATTAGCTCGTTAATTTCTGGAAATAGATATAAGCTGATTAAATAATTCGAGTATCATTAAACGGACTTCTACAATCATCAAACCGCCGTCATAATCAGAAAACCATCGAGCCGACCCAAACACAATCGAGTCAATTCGAGTAAATCAAGCGAAGCCATTTTGGAGTAGACTACATCAGTTGGAACTACATCAATTCGACCAATGTAACTCTACAAAAATTAGTCCACCTACTGTCACCATTCAATGAGTGTCACGAATGGTCATCTAAGAACTTTAACTCATGTACAGAGGATTATAATTAAAATTTTGTGGGTCGTTATGGTAGGTAAGCTCGCTCTGCGATGTTTTGTTCAATGTTGTCTTTTTCTTCTTCAGCCATTCGGAATATTTCGCGTGTCCAATGCCAATAACTAAAAGGTCTAAGATAATTAAGTTAGGCCCATACTTAAAGAAGAGCAGAGAAATTGTCATTCTCTCTCTCTCGCACAAACTGACGTCATGGATTTTCAACACCCATCATCAAAAATAACTAAGGATACGATGAGAATCTAATATAAATCATTTAAACTTTCGAATGTTTTGAAATAGGATACTGTTGAATTTCGGCTAAAACTTCCTATTGTTAGTGTTGTTGCTGTTGTTAATGATGTCATTTGGTTCCACTTGTCACACCTTAACCTTGACTGGAATAGCCAAGAATGTTTTTCAAACTGTTCATACGTACATATATGTAGATGTAACTGGGTGTAGGTCAGGTCACATTAACAAATCGCAATTAACATTTAAAGTTTTGCGAGCACACATACACAACAGAAATATATGTATAAGACCTGGAGAATAGAGTCTTAAATTTCAAATTAAATAAGAACTAAATTACATTATTTCATTTGGATATTTATTTACATATACATACTAAGCGGTAGTCATTTACAAAAAAAAAGAACGTATGTATTGTTTTGAGGTAGATTCAAGCTGTAATGTAATCTTTTGTAGAGTCTTCCCTACATAAAATGCTTCCTAAGTAATCCAATGGATTTGAAGTGGAAGTCAAGTGAAATGATAAGGAAGTCCAATCACCATCTTATACAACAATAACAAGCATTATATTTGTAGTTGGACAATATAGTTCACTGAGCGTATCGATCTATAAAGTTCAAGAGGAACTAGGTGGTCCATATAATTCATTTTACTTTGATTGTTCCTTTATTAGGCTTAAAGGATCCTTCCGATCCTTAGGCTTAGGATCCTTCCGTTTTGTTCTTAAATACTTTATATTCCTGTAGGTCTACGTCTTCGTAAAGCACCCATATAACTACCCCTGATATTTGGTATTTGGATGATTTTAGCGAAATTATTTACCGGAATTGTTTCAAATTTGGTATTTGAAGTTCGAAATGGATACTGCAGCCTAAGACAGAAAATTGCCTGTACATGGCCCATTTTCAACACCAAAAGTTCTGCCGACATAATATACATTTGAGTAAAATATTATCAATCTACGTCATTTCGTTCGGAAGCTAGAGTGATTTCCACAGACGGATAGACGGACGGACATCGCTAAGTCGACATAGAATTTTTTATGCTGATCAAGAATATATACACTGAATGGGGTCTAAAATGTATATTTCGAGGTGTTACAAACGTAATGACAAACTTAAACCTTGAAAAACAACAAATTTTGAAATATATTGAAGGTATAAGAACTCCTCGTTGCCAGATAATAAGTAGTAAATCCGGCCGGGTCGACCTTTAAATACCCTCCACTATTTGGAACTAATTTCAAAATTTTCAAAAAAAATAAAATCCATATAAAATTCTGTTATGTTCTTAAAAATACCGGATGTAGGAAGTGGCCGTTATATTGGGGTATATACGAAGACGTGGAATTACATAGGCAACTTTTGTCACAGGACATTGCAATATTCAAATACGAAACATGAAAAAAATCCGGTGAATAATGTAGCTAAAATCATCAAAATTCCGAATATAGGGAGGTATTTTGGGGCTGTACGAAGCATTGTACCTGCATAGACAATTTAATTTTCTGTCCCAGTAGTACCTATTAGGACCTCCAAATACGAAATTTGAAACAATTCCGGTGAATAATGTACTTACCTATACTCATCAAAATACAGAAAAATGGGAGGGCTACTGTTATATTCGGGCTTTATGATACCGTGGACCTATATAGACAATTCTCTTATAGGGTATAAAGCAGATAGATAAGACTTCAGATGTGGATTTTCAGACAATTCCATTAAAAAATAAGCTGAAATCATAACAAACCGAATAAAAGGTGTTACCGTTATATGGGGGATATACCATATCGTGGTCCTTTATAGAGAAATCTAAATCCAACTCATTGTGTGGATTTTAAGACAATTCCATTTGGCTAAAATCATAAAAAACCGAATATCGATGGTACCGTTATATGGGGACTACATTATATCGTGGACCGCTATATTCCATCTTCGAACTTCATATTCCTGCAGACAAAAGACTGTTCTGTGCAAAAATTTTGCTTCCTCTCTTAACTCGTTTTGACTCTGGCGTGTTTACAACAGAGGGACAGGGGCTAAATCGTCTAAGAATCTTACGCTGATCAAGAATATATATACTTTTTTAGGTCTAAAATATTTATTTCGATAAGTTATTAACGGAATGACGAATTTAGTATACCCTCCATTCTATTTATAGTGGAGGGTATAAAAATTACAAAGAAAATATTTTTATAACGACACTATGCGTTGGATGTCTTTTAAGTTACATTGGGCCAAATATTTGTAGCGCCTTGAAGTATTGGTCAAAGATCCACAATATTATATATAGATCTTCCCATCTCGCCGATCCGAGTCAATCTAGATAAATACGTCCGTCCGCCTGTCCATATTAATTTTTAATCACAGGTCACAATTATGCTCCAATCCTCACGAAGTTTTGTATGAAGGCAGGGTTAGAGTCCAAATAGAAGCCTATTGTTGTTCGAGATGATCGCAAAATATATATTTTGATAAATTTCCTCTACAGGTCATAATTGTAGATCAATCAACGCGGAAGAAATAATTTAAAAGAAAGCAGAAGCCTACCAATTTGGAAGGTCATCGATTAATGTTTAGATAGTGAAACTGACCAAAACTTTTGTGTGAAAAAATACTATTATTTCCATTTAACTCAAATATTTTAATCTCAGTGAAAGCTAAGGTCATTTCTGGCCGCTACATTAAAGCTGATAGCCAAGATATCGGATATATGGCAAATTTGGTACAATTTTTATATACAAGAAACGGATGTTAGTTACTACGCTTATAATAACGGTCCATATCAAAACGGAATCCTCTATAGACAATTTTATACTTCAAGGATTGTTATCTACTAAATCTTCTTAAATACCAAATTTGGAACAATTTCGTGACTAGGATTGTCAAAATACCAAATATTGGTGGGTACGTTATATGTGCGCTATAGGAAAACGTGGACCTAAATATTCAATGTTTTGCCTCCGGAGCTAGAACCCATTACGAAATACAAATACCAAATTTCTTACAAATCCGTTAAAAATCGACACTGATTTTGAATGAATTAAGAGTTTAGGATAGGGCAGAAGTCTAGTATTTTGGATGGCTTTCGAATAACATTTAACGGGTAAAATAGACCAAAACTATACAGAGGGTAACATATTTGCAGGACTGTATGGTATTATTTGAAAAACTAAATCGACCAAATTGGTTGTGGAACAGAGTGTGCTTTCCAATATATTATAGTGTTCTAGGCTATCACATAAATATAACCTTTGCATACTTGTTTAATTTTTATTTTCATAAGACAAGAACCCAGCACTACAATCCTAATGGTCCTAATTATTAGACTTCGCTTAATATGTGGCAATGGATAGTTCACCTCCTCTCTCCTGCGGCAGAACCAATACTTAATGTGTACTACGATCTCCATGCTCTTTTCAAACTCATTATGGAACATTTGCTTCTCCTTTAATAAATGATAACTGAATTTAAAATAATTATAGCGCCCTTTAAGAAAAGACCTAAAAATTTTAACGTTCCACATAATTTCAAGCAATATTAACTCTTATTTCACTTAAACATGACTTTCTCCCCCAAAAGAATTAGCAACTTAATTGTCCCCTTCGCTAAGTTTGGGCGTTTCTTTTAATTAGCCACTCGGCTATCTTCCTGTGTGTCTGTGTTCGTTTACTTACCTCCACTGAGCTCTGTAAGTTCTTTAGTTTTCGCCTGCAAAACGGCGGGGATGACGAATTAACCATAAGTAGCACGACATTGTTGTTGTTTTTTTTTTTTTTTTTTGTTTTTTATTTTTTTGCTGTAAAGTGCTTAGAATTCCTAGACATCCGTTTCAGTTGGTCAAAGAAGATCTAACTCGTCAGTCAGTCTGTTAGCCATCGGTCGACAATCGAAGTAGAGAAACTTCGGATTACGAAAAATAAATTAAAAAGAGACATAATTAAAATTCTTTCAACACCGCCAAAATAAAAATGAGTTGTTGTAACATTCGTAGCTGGAGTTTAATTATTGGCTGGGTCAATGCGGTGGTGGCGCTTTTGGTCTTTATAGCATTGGTCGCATTCGCCTGTGTCATTGATGATAACTATGCCAAAGAGAATAATTGGAATGGTAATTATTTTGGTGAAAAAAAAAATTAAATGCTGACATTCATCTTAGAAATGTGCAAAATATATAATGCTATACGGGAGGAATATTAAATTCCATATCAATGTAATGAATGTGTGGGGTATTTTAGTGCGTATACGTTACGTCAACAGGTATACGCCCCAATATAAAATTGTTATATTGGAGTTTTTTTAAACTTCGTAAAAACAACATCGTTTCAAATGGTATTAGTCCAGGATTTGAGGCGTGTAAAGATATACCAAACTTTAAATCGGAAACTATAATAAGATATGAAGTGTTACAAAACATGAAAAGGCGTTGTATGTATGAAGCAAGACTCCAACTTCAGCCCAATATTTTTACAAATTCAGAGTCAACACCGAAAACAAATGAAGTAAACGTTTTCTGTATCACAAATCAAATAAACTCTTGTTTATAGCAAATAATTGCATCGTTTAAAGGAAAGCCCGTTTCGCAAGAAAAAAAAATTTTAAAAGGGCTTAGAAGGCTCAAGCCAAACCCATTTTGTATAAATTGTGTATAGTTTTAACAATAAACAGAAACCTATTTAAGATAGAGGTGGTTCAAAAAAGAGGTCATGTCAGTTAAATTTTCATAGCGTGGAACACATATAAAGGTGTTATATTTTAATATAGTCATGTTATGTTACTTTGAGTTCTAAATTTTTGTAACAGTATTTTTTCATTCACTTGGAATTTTGGCAAAAGAAAATATATTTTGAGTTTTTTTAGGTAGTGCAATTTATTTTCTGTGAGTGACAAACGGCGGGGTATTCATATATAAACTATTTTTACACATCAACTTTTTATTTCCTGATCTTGCAGGACCAAATCCTTTAAATGTTTCCTTGACATTTTTCAATTTTATTTTACAAATTTGTTTTAAATTTGAAATTATTACATTTATTTTTTAAATTTTATTGAATAAAAGCAAAACAAGTGAAAAAGCTGTTCGGTCGGGCCGCTCTTTTAATATCCTCCACCATTCGAAACGAATTTGGCAATTCTCAAAAAAAAAACCGTTAAAAATCTGTTAAATTCTTAAAAATCCCGAATGTTGCTGTTATATTAGGGTCTATACGACGACATGGACCTGCATAGGTAACTTTTGTCATAAGCCATTACATTATAGATGCGTTATATGGGGGCGATACGAAGACGTGGACCTGCACAGAAAATTTTATGTCTTAGGATGTAGTATCCATTACGAACTTCAAATACAAAGTTTGAAACAATTCCGATGAATAATGTCGCTAAAATCATCAAAATACCGAATATCGTGAGGTACCGTTATATGGGGCTATACGAAGACGTGAACCTGCACAAACAATCTTCTGTCATAGGCTGTAGCATACATTACGAACATCAAATACCAAATTCCGGAGAATAGTGTCCCTAAAATCATCAAAATACCGAATACCTGGAGGTACCGAATATCCGGAGGTATCGTTATAAGGGGGCTATACCAAAACGTAGACCTACACGCCCCATTTTCAATACCAAAAATCCTGCAGACATAGTATACATTTGAGTAAAATTTGATCAATCTACTTCAATTTGTTCGGAAGCTAAAGTGATTTCCACAGACGGACAGACGGATAAACGGGCGGACAAATCTATATAGAATTTTATTATTAAATCTTATTCACTAATCAACATAGAATTTTATGCTGATCAAGAATATATATACTTTGTGGGTTCTAAAATGTATTTTTCGAGGTGTTACAAACGGAATGACAAACTTTATATACCCTCCATACTATGGTGGAGGGTTTAAAAATGCCGGAAATAGCATGAAGTTTTAGAATAAGTTTAGATTTGTTCGAATTGGTCACCTTTGGCACGAATTATAACCTTCAATCAGCCAATGAAACCGTCACACGCTGCCCGAATGTTGCTCGAATGGAGATTTTGGTGGCCATTATGCGCTGGAAATGGAGCGAGGAACCTCATTTTGTAACCATTCTTGGGTGACGCGTGCTGGGTGGAATGTCCAAGGTCTGCAATCAAAATGTTTGCGTGCCCAAGGCTTTAACACTTCCTCCAGAACGACCATCGGATGTTATGGCGGCCCACACCATCACCATGGCCGGCGCTTGAGTTCTGCTGGCCAACAGAAGGTGTACATTTTCAGCTGACCTCTTGGCATGTAAACACGATCATTTTGTTTGTTTTCAAACTGCTGGACAAGGAATGTTTTCTCACCGGAGAAAACCAAATTCGGCAGTTCACCACTTTCAGCCAAGCGAAGCAACTCTTTAGCTCTTTTGAGTCTATTTTCTTTCTGTTGCGGTGTAAGTTCTTGCACTTTTTGGATTTTCAATGGCTTTACCCCGAGCTCATTTTTCAATATTTGACGAATGGAATATTGTGATATATTCGGCCACGGCAGAGCGGGTTTCTATCAAGTCGCTTCTTTACTTTTCGAACCATTTCAGCATATGCTATATCTCCAGTTCCAAGTGGAATTTCAAAACATTATATAGACTATGTTATACGTGCAAATTTTTGCAAAATGTGGAAATATGCGTGAGGTTACATGAGGACAGAAGTATTTCATTTCCACACTTCATCTAATACAGATAAAAATATTGGTATGTGCAAAATTGGAAGGAAATCGAACACTTATATCAAATTTTATGTGACATGATAAATCTCGGTAAATTCCATATTCATATCAGATTTCTGGTTAAGATAAATATTTAAATATAGCAATTTGTAAAGAATCGCTGAAGTGGTTTGCAAGTTATGAAAGATATAAGTATTGAAAATTGTGACTCTTTGTGGGTGAGGTACCAGAAGGGGTCGGCTGATACATATCATATTCACAACATATCTTTTGTTAATAAAATGTTTGTGTTGGCGAAATTTGAAGAGATTTGGTTGCTTATTTCGCTTTCTTTGAGCATTTTGTTTTTAAAAAATGGTCCGATTCGTCCCATTTTTATAAAATATCTTATGTTATTGGAAATATTGAGATGTACCAAGTCTAAATGTAATCGGGTGTTAATTTCGCGTTTTATCAGCTTCCCTCCCATTTTTATAAAATATCTTATGTTGATGGAAATATTAAGATGTACCAAGTCTGAATGGAATCGGATGTTAATTTCTCGTTTTATGAGGTTCCAGAAGGATGTACCAGCTTCATGAATATTCACAATTTTTCCCTTTGGCCTACAAAGGCTATCCCCTTTTATACCCTCCACCATACTATGGAGGGTATACTAACTTTGTCATTCCGTTTGTAACTCCTCGAAATACTCATATCAGACCCAACAAAGTATATATATTCTTGATCAGCGTAAAATTCTAAGTCGATTTAGCTATATACGTCTGTTTGTCTGTCTGTCCGTCTGTCTGTCCGTCTGTCTGTCCGTCTGTCTGTCCGTCTGTCTGTCCGTCTGTCTGTTGTAATCACGCTATCTTTCGAACGAATTGGGATAGAAGGCTAAAATTTTGCACACCTGTTTATTTTTCCAGTAGGTTAAGTTCGTAAATGGGCCATGTAGGTCCACGTTTTCATATAGCCCCCATATAACGGTACCTTCCGATATTCGGTATTTTGATGATTTTAGCGACATTATTAACCGGAATTGTTTCGACTTTGGTATTTTAAGTTTGAAATGGATACTACAGCCTATGACAGAAAATTATCTGGGCAGGTCCACGTCTTCGTATAGCCCTCATATAACGGTACCTCCCTATATTCAGTATTTTGATGATTTTTGCGGCATTATTCACCGGAATTGTTTTAAACTTGGTATTTGAGATTCGTGATGGATACTACAGCCTATTACAGAAAATTGTTTTAACTCCATTATTAACCGGAATTGTTTCAAATGACGTATTTAGAGTTCGTAATGGGAACTACAGTCTGTGACAGAAAAATGTCTATGTAGGTCCAGGTCTTCGTATGGGCCCCATATATCAGTACCTCCCTATACACGATATTTTGACGAGTTTAGCTACAATATCCACCGAAATTGTTTGAGATATCGTATTTGATGTTGGTAATGGATGCTATAGCCTGTGACAGAAAATTGTCTATGCTGGTACAGGTCTTCGCACAGCTCCGATATAATGGTACCTCCCTATATACGATAATTTGATGATTTTAGCTACATTATTCACCGTTTATTTCAAGTTTCGAATTTGAATATGGTTATGGCTAATGGCAAACAATGCCTATGTAGGTCCATGTCGTATAGACCCCAATATAACGGCAATATTCGGTATTTTTTAAATTTTATTTTTTTTAAATTTCCAAATTCGTTCCAAATGGTGGAGGGTATTCAAAGTTCGGCCCGGCCGAACTTACTTCTTTTTAATTTGTTCTTCTTTGAAGTCGGCCTCGTGGTCATCTATAAAGACTCCCTCCGAGTCTTAATTCAGGTGTCCTACCAGTGGTGTATAGAAATCTTTCTGGTGATGTACAAAGAATTTTTGCTTGACATTTGTAATTTAACTTCAAATACCCTACTGTTTATCAATGAATACCCCCAAGTCGTGTAAAAATCCCCTTGATCGTATTTAATGCTTACATTCGCAACGCTTATAAAGAATCCTCGCCGTCTATTTCGTCAAAAAAAAATGCTTCCTAGCCTTCTTTTAAGTTCACTTCATGTTTACTACAATTAATCTCTAATAAACTTTTCAGATGCGCTATTTCTTAAGGGGATTTGTTCGAAGCATTTGAAGGCGGGAATCACATTCTCTTCTCCTCTTCAAGAGATCTGATCATAATTTAGGCATGAATTATTATATATTTCAAAATGACCATAACTCCTTAAATATTGACTTTTCGCCGTTTTTAGCTATTATTTGTTGTCACTTTTTTAGGCATGAATTATTCAATACTTTAAAATGGCCATAACTTCTTAAATATTGACTTTTCGCTTTTAGCTATTGTTGGAGCCAGACTATAGTCTGATAAAAATGTTATCATATACAAAATCTCAACCATATCGGATACTTCCTATCATTTTCATAGGCTTAATATTTATTTATTTATTTATTTATTTATTTTTTTTTTTTTTGAATACTTCTTTGGGGAATTCACCAGGAGGAGCGGATAGATATGAACCATCCTCCCTTTAGATTTTGTGTTGCTAGATATTTACATGTGCAAAGTTTAAAGAAAATCGGTTATTCATTTCGCAATATATAAGAGTTGTGTTTATTCGAAATTTGAATGATTCATGTGGAAGTAGGAGTAAGTCGATATTTACCATTTTCCCACCTAACTAAGGCTTGATAAAATATGCCAAATTTGAACGCAATCCAATACCCCTCCCGCTTTCTACGAGACATTGAATTGTTTTAGTTTTTATCATTTTTACCATTTTAGGAGTGTCTGAAAGAGAAACCTATGGTACAATAAGGAGGTAGAAAAGCTTCGTAAAATTACAGAAATACAGCCTGAGGCTATTCCCGCTTCCTGTCAAACTAATTCAAAATTACATGCAGCAAGTTGTTTTCATTTTTTCCATATTTTTCCTCATGTTTTAAATGAGTTAAAAAGCGCGAAAATAGAATGAAATGCCTGGATTTTCGCTCAAAAAATTATCCAAACCGTTTAGTCTTTCAATTTCATGGCTAAACTGGTTAATAGCTTTAAAGCGCGAGCCGCAAACTACGTGTCTTCAAATCGTTGGTTTTGAAAATATTTTGGTTTCACTTTTCAAAACAATAAATACAAGCAAAAAATTGGCAGAAGTCGGGCACACTTAGAAAAAAAAATTGTAATCAGCTGGTAGCTCTACCTTACCTTTTTATTGTACCATGGAGAAATCGATATAAGTTTGACAAAAATATAGGGATTTGCCCAAATTGGACATATTTGGATACTACATTCCGAACTTATCATATGTATCAGTCTGACAGACCGGCATTTTTCCCTTATCAATAATATATACATTTACCCTCTTAAGTCGTATTACTGAAGGTATAAAAATACCTTATATATGGTTTCACATTTCTCTAGGTGGACTTTATCGATTTCCTACTTATAAGTACAATTATACAATTTCATATAAACTAATTTATATTGTTCTCCCCCCCCCCTCTCTCTCTCTCACACACTCTCGCTTCAACAGAGGATCAAAAAAATGCCTACTTTGCGGCAACAATTTTGGGATGTGTCCTATGCGTCATCTCCTTTATTCTTAATGTTATGCTGATTGTCGGTATTTATCAGGTAATTGTTCTACATTTTAAATATTATTTTCATATACTTAATTTGGATGCATCTTTTTTCCGAACAGGCCCGAATTAAATTACTAGCCATTTATATATACGCCATGTATGTGTCTATTGGTCTCGGCGTTATTGCAGCTGTTATAACATTTATTGTTCGTTTAATCTACAAAGATCCGGCAGGAGATGCCTTTCTGAATTTCTTGAGAAATTTAGTTTATATTGGTGAGTGATAGAGTTTAATTTATCAGCTTATGTATCAGCTTTTGTAATAGACTCTCTCTTTTTCCCTTTAGCATTTGAAGTGATAATCTTCTCACCGGTCTACATGCTGTATAAGAAGATAACTGAACCCGAGCCAGAGTTACAGGAACATCGAGGTCCCAGCAATAATGATTCGGCGAACAAGTCGACACCATACAGCGGCCACATATGAGCTGGGAATGTAGAAGCAGACACTAATTTTTAATTTCTATAATTACCTTAAATATTTTAAAAAATTCAATTATTTGAATAAATTCTAATTAAATATATTCGTAGTTTATAGGTATGCAGTTTAAGAGAATGCCTATTCGTAGTGCAATTCTGTGGAAGCAAGGTAAAGTGACTATGTCAATTCTTTTAATAGACATATATTCAAAAGCATTGGTGTCTTTAATATTTTTCCCTTACGTGTTGTAGGGGTTATGTGTGTGTTGGTGTTATTATATCTTTGATTAACACAAAAATTATGCGACACCTCGAAATATTGATCCTCAACATAGGGTGTTATATATGGATCTTCCTATCTAGCCGAGCTTAGTCGATCTAGTCGATGTATCCGTCCACCCATCTGTACATCTTAATTGGCAATCACTTACGGCCCGATTCGCTCGAAATTTTGTATGAAACAAGGTCAGAATATAACCCTTTTGTTGGAGCAGTTTATGCAAAATATTTAAGAGTTCAAATGGACCAAAAACAGAAAAATTTCCAGATTTTGCATTTGATATACAGGTAAGAATTATAGACCAATCCATAGAGCAAGAGAGTAGGATAGGGCAGAAGTCTAACAATTTGACTGGTCATCGAATAATATTTAGTGGCTGGAATAGACCATAACTTTTAATTTAACGAAAATACTAACATTTTCATTTAACCGCGAATATTTTTAATCCCGGCAAAATCACAAATTAACAAAAAGGTCATTCTGGCCATAATATTGATTTATAGCAAAATATATATACAATCTCATATATCACAGAAGGGGATGTTAGTAAGACGGCTATTAGCTCGAGAACAGCTGAACAGAACTCTCTTGGAACTACAACAAAATCTATATATATAAAAGAAAGTTGTATTAGTTACTACGCTTATAACTTAAGAACCGCTGGACTGATTCTAACGATTCATACAAATTCGGAATTGTCTCCTGTCCGAAAAGGATAATATACAAAAAAATCGCGTAAAAATGTGATATATTAACATTTTCATTTTGACTTTTGAAATGTACAATAGTAATGTTTTATTTTGCATGATTTTTTCCATTTTGACTTACTTTTTTCTAATGTACATTTGTAGTGTTTTTTGTATTTTATTTTTGAATTCGAATATTAATACCAATTTATTTAATTGACTTGATTTCTTGAGAACTGAAATTGATGGCGGGTTACATGGAAGTGTAGTACCGAATTATGTGGTGGCGTAACGGAATAGACAATATCGAAATAATTTAACGCGGTCACGCCAAAGTTAAAAGATAAATTATTTTTCAAAATCGCTAAAAAATCAAGAAAAAGAGATCTTATTGCAAAAACTCTCAAATCGGGAACAAATCGAAAAAAAATTTCTGTGGAATCGAATTTTAAAATAATAGTACATTCTATTGACAAACTTAAGGAGGATCTTTAAATATTTGCTGTAAAAAATCAGAAAACAAGTTGAAGATTTTTTCAATTTGTTATTCTTCTTTTGTCAATTTTTTATACCCTCCACCATACTATGGAGGGTATATTAATTTTGTCATTCCGTTTGTAACTCCTCGAAATACTCATGTCAGACCCAACAAAGTATATATATTCTTGATCAGCGTAAAATTCTAAGACGATTTAGCCATGTCCGTCTGTCTGTCTGTGTGTCTGTGTGTCTGTCTGTCTGTCTGTCCGTCTGTCTGTCTGTCTGTTGTAATCACGCTATCTTTCGAGCAAATTGAGATAGAAGGCTAAAATTTTGCACACATGTATATTTTGCCAGTAGGCAGGTTAAGTTCGTAAATGGGCCATGTAGGTCCAAGTTATCATATAGCCCCCATATAACTGTACCTCCCGATATTCAGTATTTTTATGATTTTAGCGACATTATTCGCCGGAATTGTTTCAAATTTGGCATTTGAAGTTCGTAATGAATACTACAGCCTAAAACAGAAAATTATCTGTGCAGGTCCATGTCTTCGTGTAGCCCCCATATAACGGTACCCCCCGATATTCGGTATTTTTATGATTTTGCGACATTGTTTACCGGAATCGTTTCAAATTTGGTATTTGAACTTCGTAATGGATACTACATCCTAAGTCAAAAAATGAGCCATGTAGGTCCACTTCTTCATATAGCCCCCATATAACGGTACCCCCCGATATTCGGTATTTTGATGATTTTAGCGAAATTATTCAGCGAAATCGTTCCAAAGTTTGAAGTTCGTAATAGATACTGCAGCATAAAACAGAAAATGGGCCATATAGGTCCACGTCTTCATATAGCCCCCATATACCGTACCCCCCGATATTCGGTATTTTGATGATTTTAGCGACATTATTTACCGGGATTGTTTCAAATTTCGCATGTGAATTTCGGAATGGATACTTCAGCCCATGCCAGAAAATTGTCTGTGCAGGTCCATGTCTTCGTATAGCCCCCATATAACGGTACCCCCCATATTCGGTATTTTAATGATATTAGCTAGATTATAAACAGATTTTTCTTGAAGTTTCGCATTTAAATAGTGTAATAAGTTATGACAAAAGTTGCCTATGCTGGCCCACGTCGTCGTATAAGCATTCGGTATTCTTAAGATTTTAACAGAATTTTTAACGGATTTTATTTATTAGAAAATGCCAAATTTGTACCAAATGGTGGAGGGTATTAAAAGTTCGGCCCGGCCGAACTTACAGCTTTTTTACTTGTTTTAATTTGTATTATCATATTGAATTCAGTGGATTTTTTGTGAACAAAATAATGATTTCTATCCTTCCAGAAATTCTTCCCAAACATTCAAGATAACTTAAATCGCTTTTGCAGGTCATGATATCGATCATAACTCACGGATAAGGGTACAAACCGATTTCATATTTATATATCCATCGTATGATTTAAGCTATTTTTGGGGTCATGCCCACTTTATTCATTTTTGGCCTTATTTGGCAAAATTTGAAATTTTCAGAGTAGGGCCCATATTGGTCTTGACCACATTTATCAATTGATTTGGCTAAAAAATTGTATATACGCTACCCTGGTGTATGGAACCATCATACAGATAATTGTCACCTAGGAATTTATTTAAGTAAAGCCCCCACATTGGAGTATCCCCAAGTCCACTTTCACATCTAATGTGTGTTCAGAAAAGAAAATTTTGTATTCTATTGAATTTTTAACCCCCAAGAGAATATTGGTTGAGAACATAGATTTGGGATGCACATCTATATGAAATAAATTATGAAAACATGGACAAATTACAAATATAAGAAAGTAGCACGGGACAGAATATTTGTTAAATCGTCGTTGAATTATACTATGATAAAAATATGGACTTACAACTTACAATTTACAACCAACTTACAATTTAAATGGCAAATGAAATTAATTCCCATGGGTGTAAAATTGCTATATTTTTGATTTGGTCTCTGTTTGTCATATTGGATTATAAGCGGTAGAAGAAAGTTTTCAATGTAGGTCGATATTTTGGAGTAGTGCCCATGTAAAGGTACCTCCTGATTTTACCATATTTCAAAAGATTAGGTTAAAAATGTATATTTGGGTGGAATCTTACACAAAAATTGCAACATATCTACAAATTTTAGAATTTTCTCCATGTAATAGTACCCCCTCAAGTCCACGGCTTAAATATGGGTATAGGTATTTTAAAACACTTTTAATCGACCAGTACGTGAACAGATATCAGTCATATCTGTGAATAATTATACTTTGACAAATATGCCTAATAGACAAAAACTACAGGCCGGCAACGCGGACCGGGCCAGCTAGTTATATATATATAAAAAAAAAAACAAGTAAAAAAATGAAAGTTCGGCCGGGTCGGGTTGAAGCTGAACCCCGTATTGGACGTCCAAAAGCAGCAACAACAACAGAAATTGTAGCGAAAGTGCATAGGTATTAAATGATCGACGAATGACAAAAAAAAAACAAGTAAAAAAGCAGTAAGTTCGGCCAGGCCGAACTTTGAATACCCTCCACCATTAGAAACGAATTAGAAAATTTTCAAAAAAATAAAATCCATTAACTTTTATTTTAAATCTTTACAATATCTAATATAGGAAGGTGCCGATATATGGGGGTATATATGATATTGTGGACCTATTAATACAAATCTATGTCTGGGTGTAAAGTACTCACAAGGAACTCCTTGTGTGGATTTTCAGATAATTCTATTGGAAAAAGTGGCTAAAATCATCAAACTACTGAATATCAGGGGCTATCGTTATATGGGGGATATACGATATTACGGACCTATATAGACAATTCCCTTTCAGGAGGTAAAGTGCTCACAAAGCACTTCTTGTGTGGATTTTCAGACAATACGATTTGAAAATGTGGCCAAAATCATCAATATACCGAATATCGGGGGTACCGTTATATAGGTGCTATACGATATCATTAACCTATATAAAGACTTCTCTGTCGGGGGGTAAAGTGCGCACAAAAACCCCTTGTGTACAATTTCCGTTGAAAAATGTGGCTAAAATCATCAAATACCGAATATCGAGGGTACCGTAATATGGGGGCTATACGATATCTTGGTATATAGATAATTCTGTGCTGAGGTATAAAGTGACCACATGAAACTCTTTGTGTGGATTTTAATACAATTCCGTTGAAAAATGTGGCTAACATCATCAAAACACCGAATATCGGGGGGGTACAGTAATATAGGGGATATACGATATCGTGGACCTATATAGACAATTCTTTTTCAGAGGGTAGAATACCCACAAGGGACTCCTTTTGTGTAATTTCAGACACTTCAGATACAAGGAAATCCTTGTGAGGATTTTCAGACAATTCCGTTGAAAAATGTGGGTAAAGTTATCAAAATACCGAATATTGGGGGTACCGTTATATGGGGACTATACGATATCGTAGACCGATATAGCCCATCTTCGAACTTGACCTGCCTGCAGATAAAAGAGAGATCTGTGCAAAATTGTAACTTCCTATCTTAATTCGTTTAGACTGTAGCGTGATTACAACAGACGGACAGACGGACGGATAGGGCTAAATCGTCTTAGAATTTTACGCTGATCAAGAATATACATATATACCT